CAGGCTGGTCTCAAACTCCTGACCTCAGGTGATCTGCCTGCCTCAGCATCCCAAAGTGCTGGGATTACAGGCGTGAGCCACCATGCCCAGCTAGAGCTAAATTTATATATGGTGGTATACAAAGCCTAGAAAAGTACTTGGTGGGGAAAAATGTTACAAGTGATTCCTTAAAAACTTTAACCAATTATTTCTCATTTTTATTTGCTGTTGTTGTTATATCAATAATTAGGAGAAAAATAAAAATAGAAACTATAAAAAGAGAAAGATATGAGACTAGAACTCAATTTCTAACACAAATGATGTTTAGCTGGCATGTATGCAAGATCATACTGCCCTCCTTGTCTTTGAAATGTGGTATAGGAGAAAACATAGAAGTTAGATGTCTAGAACAACAGCATCATTACCATTAGAAATATCATGGAACCCACCCACACACACACAGACACAGACACAGACACAAAAAGCCACTGGAAAGAAAGCTAATGCTCACAGTGTACAGCAAAGGCATCACCAATTGCTGAATTCTGGTTTTAAGTATAATGCAGCCTCCATGAGCTCGCTCTGATCAGAAGCAGAAATGAAAGTCAGGCAAGGTGGCTCATGTCTGAAATCCTAGCATTTTGGGAGGCCGGAGTGGGAGCATCACTTGAGCTCAGAAGTTTGAGACCAACCTAGGCAACAAAGTGAGACTTCATCTCTAAAAAAAAAAATTAATTAGCTGGGTGTGGAGGCGCATGCCTGCACTCCTAGCTACTTGGCTAGCTGAGATGTAAGGATCACTTGAGCCCAGGAGATCAAGGCTGCAGTGAGCTGTGATTGCACCACTGCACTCCTGCCTGGGTAGCAGAGCAAGACCCTTCTCAAAAAAACAAACAAAAAAAAAGCAAGCAATGAGATTTAGGGAAAAGACTACATATCTTTTGGTATCCGTGAATGACAACTGCATGTGATAGAGCTAATAACACTCTAAAAACTACATTCTTTCCATTTTTTTAGTTGAATGGTTATATTGATCATATCCACATATGAATTTCCCAGTTAACTACATTGTTACTGATAAAAGATGATGTATTGCAGATAAAACAGTGTAATTGCTGAACTACATGCAAAAAAGGTATTCTTTTCTTTCATTAAGTACAGTCCATCTACGTTACATATTACTGATGGAACATTTAACTACATATACCTTTAACAGTGAAGAATTCTGAGCAGACTACTTCCATGTCCCAGGAACTTAGCTTTTCACAGTCCTTCTGTTCTGTCCCGCTATCTAGCAATAATAATCTTTCATATCCCATTAACCATTTATCCCTCACCACTAAGCCTTCCCCTTCCTCCCTTCAATATCTCAAATCTATAATTAAAATAATCAGAATATAACTAAAAGATCCAGGAGCTTAGAAGACAGATATGGAAATCAAAGTATATCTAATATAAGTTATTTTTCCTATATTAAGAGTTTCCATTTGAACTAAATTATTAGGGATTGAGTTTCTGGCTCCTACAGAATTCTGATAGTATCTTGGTACAAAATTCTTCAAAAAAAGAATCTTTTTTTTTTCTTTCTTTCTTTTCAGATGGAGTTTCACTCTTGTTGTCCAGGCTGGAGTGCAATGGTACAACCTCAGCTCACCACAACCTCTGCCACCCGGGTTCAAGCAATTCTCCTGTCTCAGCCGCCCAAGTAAGTAGCTGGGATTAGGCATGCACCACCACACCCAGCTAATTTTTGTATTTTAAGTAGAGATGGGGTCTCACCATGTTGG